ACAACAACAGCAACAACAACAACAATGGCAACAATAAAACAGTAATAGCCGCAACAACAATTGTGAAACCCTAAACGCAACGTTCGGCTTGGCTCATGATCCGACTCACGAGTTTCCACCCTAAATTGTGGGGTTGCTGCTGGCGGGGCGGCATCGATTGAAGCAAATAAAGCTTCAGGGCCAAAGTACATACATATACAACAACAGCAGCAATGCACAGCTAAACCAGAAAACCAGAAAACCTACCCTAAAAACGTTGTCGACGCAGCAGATCGAGCGGAGGGCGATGGCGTCGGCGGCGTTGGGCTAAGGCTTAGGCTTAGGGTAGCGTTGGCGACGTCGCTGCCAGCATTTATGTACAATGTAAACGCATTGCATCGGGTGGGAGGCGGTGGGCCAGAATTGAGATCCACATTAAAACGGACGAGAGCGTCGTGAGAGAGCGCAAGCTGCGAGCGCGCCACGAAGTATGTGTGCGTTTTTTTTTCTTCTGTTGCTACACGAGCTTATGTGCGTGCGTTTGTGTATGTGTGAGAGAGGGACGAAGGTATTATGTGCTCACATGGCTTTGCATTTTCTAAAATAAGCATACGCTACTTAATTAGGTCCAAGCCAAATTACAGTTAAAAAGCTTTAGAAACAGAGCACAAAATAAACTGCATTAATGTAAATAACTGCTTGGACGTAAACTCCGAATATGTATGTATGTATGTGCATTATGTCATGTGCAAGGCGAACAACGGTTAAAGCTAAATCCGATTTCATGATGTGGTTAGCTTGATGTGTGACACATCTTCTAGCAACAACAATAACAAGAATGAGAACAACAACAAGAGTTCGTGGTTAACGCGCTGCTGCTGCTGCTGCTGCTGTTTCTGCTGCTGCTGCTGTTTCTGCTGCTACTGCTGTCAACGGTAGATAAAAGCTGAAGCTGGGTTAAGCTGAATCAGACATCTTACCGTTGGATTGCAATAAGAAGCTTTCGGCATGAACATGTTTAACTTTAAGGCAACACTTAGAAAAAATTTAGTTTTCAACAAGTCGAAACAAGAAACAATTTTACAAAATATATATTCTTTTTGGGTAATATTATACATGCATATTAGTACTTAAAACTCTAATAATAGTGGCTGAAGGTGTCTTCGGCTAGTTAGGGCAGATGTTTTACAGATGAAAATCTACAAAGCAAAGTAGAAATGTATATACATATACAAAGAAACCCCCTCTGGCTTAGATTGGCTTAGATCAAGCAGGCTTCATTCAGGTATCATTCAAAAATAAATCTTTTTAAATTTGCATATTTTTTCATTTAATACAATCGAGTGCATAACTTTTTTAAGTGGCTTTGGCTTCCCATTGGCCAGTTCCTTTTTATTTATGTATGTAGCTCACGTCAGTTGCAAATGGTCGCCAAAGCTCAAGTACAAGGTAGAATAGATAAACAGCTGCACGCAAAACCTTTTTTAGGTGATCATAAATACTAACACCCCAACATTTGCACAGACATACATAAATACAAATACAAGCTCTGCCAGCAATTTTTATTTATTTATTTTAAGCCCCACAGTTGTTCATGTAATGTGCTAATGATAATGAACTGCAAGCACAGTTAAAAGTGTTTCACTGCAAATTACTAAATGTGACTCATTAAAATTGCACACAGTATCTAAGTTAAACTAAGCACCGTACAATGCATACATACATACATACAATACAAACATACATATGTATGTATTTTACATATGTACGTTGCTCTCTGCAAACCATAAAACTTATCTGTTACAAAAATTTAGATAAATGAATAATTGCTCTCGTTATCTTACGTTTTGCGTATGTTCTCACTTCCGTTAGATCAACATCTATATATGCATACATACATATGTACATATATACGCGGTTACATCCCATAAGGGTTTGGGTTTCACAAGCACCAACACAGCATCAAAAGCTTCGAATCGTTAAGCTAAAGATCAAATAGCAAAACCAACAACAACAGTGTAAAGCAGATCGCATCACATGTTAGCGAAAAAGCTTTGTAAGTAGGCGTATATCTTTGTTGTTGTTGTTGTTAGCACATTCCATGGCTAGTTAAAAAAGGGCGAGGGCGTGCCAGTTGCTCGAAAGCCAACACCTGTCAGCAGCTTAGAACTTTTGCATATTAAGGTTTCGCAATGTCGCTATAAAAAAAAAATAAAATAAACAGTTCTAGGGCAGGTTTTCACGAGCGCTGCGAGACTGCATGAATATGGCACACTATATACTATATACGACTATGTATATGTATATGTACATACACATACGCACAATAGATAAATCCTATCATGTGAGCACAAATATTTCATGGCTGCAATTTTATGCATTTATGACATTAAATTCTTATGTACTCATACAAACACAAACGCATGCACAAAAGCTTCCTGGCACACTCTCTTCGCCCAGCACCGGGTGGGGGGAGTGCGAGTAGGTGAGCGAGCGAGTGAGTGAGAGTGCGCATGGAAAGCCTAAACAAGAATAATGCAATGCACACATGCCATACAACACGCGCACCAATACATTAACGCATGCTGCCCACTCGCATACACACTCAGGCACTCACACTTCAAATTGCAAGTGCATATCGCATGTTTAGCATGTGTGCGAGCAGGCAATTTCATAGAAAAGCGTTTCAATGACGTCAATTGCTGCCCAATAAAGTGTCTACTTTTTGTTGTTGTTGTTGTTAACTTTTTCTCTTTTCTATTTCAGTTTAGGTTGTGAGCATGTGAGAGTGTGTCATTATTGCACATCATGTTAGAGTGCGCTGCATTAATTTTCAAGTACGTGTATGTAGGAATATCCATTAATAGGCCGGATTTGTTCTCGTTTTGGGACTGCTGGCGCCAGCTAGCGGCCAGAGTTTGCTGCATTAATGTTCAAGTACGTGTGTATGAATGTATGTATGTATGTTTTTATGTCTATATATCCGTCAACCAGCCGCAACTGTGCTCGATTTAGAACCGATGGCGCCACCTAGCGGTCGAGCTTGTCAAAAAGGGTGGCCGCTGCCGCAGTCACTGCTGCTGCTGACGCTGACCTTAATATGCATTAATTGTTTCAAGCAGCTGTAAACTAGGGGAAGCTTTTCTGTGCTGCGCTGTGTGTGTGTGTGTGTGCTTGTTCTAATGCACTCGCATATTTCATGCTCTCTTGTTGGGTCATGCTCACGCGCATTAAATATGCACAGCTTTCGTTTCATGGAGCACAATACTTCGTGCTTTAATTTTGATCCCAAACACACACTCGCACATGCATACGCATGGCTAAAGCTGCGCTGCTGGCGACGAAGCTCGCTGCCAGGGCAGTTGTTGCTTTGGCGTGGGGGATCTTTTGTTTTGTTTTGTTTTGTTTACGATTCTCTTAATGTGGGCGTTGGGGGCGAATGTTTAGCTGTAGTTATAAGTGTGTATGTGTGTGCATAAATGTGTGTGTACTACATAAATGCATAGGTGCATAATGCAAGCGAGGTCGGCCCTCGCCTCTGTCTCCAGTTCCGCTCGTCGCGAGCCTGCGCATGCGAGTTTCTATTTCGATCGATTTTTCCAACAACATGTGAAAAGCTTGAACAATGTCAATTAATGTTAACTAATAGTTGAAATTAATCTACTGCGACGATCAATGTAACAATTATGCAAGTCAATCAGTTGTTGTTGTTGTTGTTTAGAGCTAGAGCGAGTAGTGAGAATATGCAATTATTTTAATGTATTCAGCCTTGATGCTCATGAATGTCAATTAGCTTAATGCATATGAGAGAGCGAGTACCCATACTCCAAATTGCGCTCACGTGGGCAACGCTTTTACCCGCTCTCTGTGTGTCTGTCCCACTCGCTCGCCTACTTGCTCACCCTCTCTCTCTCTTTGTCTCCTTCTGCAAATGAGTCGCTTTGTATGCGCCAACAGCCCATCCATCGAAAGCTTCAAATAGCGTTAGGTGAGCGCGTTTTTATGGTCTCGCCACCCACTTCCGCACCCACAAGTCATGCTTACACATGCACACATGCGTATACATGCACACACACACACACACACACACACCCACACATATGCAAGTCACTTTCGCATTCAGCAACAGAAAATTGCAACTCATTTGAATTGTTTCGCCTTCATTATGCAAATGTCGACTTTTGGCCACGAATATTTATTTGCTTATTATAAATACATAAAGATAATTCAAGTCTTGCTGCGATTGCCAGGCCCAGACTTTCTATGACAGCATTTTGGCATGACTTCATAGGGAGCATAATTTGACCTTAAGCCAACTCATGCAAATCAAGCTACAAAAGTCAAGTTAACTTGCCAATAAATTATAAAATGATGGGAAGTGCACAAATATTTGAGTCTCTTTCTAATGAAATTTCGTTATTTATCACTCCACAAATTTAAATTTGAATAAAAGCCGCCACCTTATCGATATACAATTCAAAACTTATTGTTCGTTTTATAGCAGTTAGCTTTTGTGCTGAAGCTAATTTTTCGTCGCACATCTGGCAATGCTGTTTGACAGTGTGTACACAGCACATATCTATTAAAATCTCAAAACATTTGTGCTTAAATTACTTTAAATACAGATAAAAATAAACGTAATACATTGTAGTTGTTTTGCCATATAGCTGCAATGTAAAGAAATTCTCAAAAATAACGCTTTGATGTTTTACTCTCAAGTTCAAATTGTGCGCGCACATTTCATTCCAGCTGTTTCGTGTGCAACGCAACAGCACAAAAGTAAATCGGCAATAACAATGCGAACAAGCGAGACAGGTAGACTCTCGCAACCCGAAACGTTGCCAGCTGCTGGCATTGATAGCGCGACATGAAATATATTTAAAATTTAAGCAGTAATTATAATATATTAAATTGATATATGCAGGTTATTGTTATTTTTGTTAGGTTTTGCTTGTTATAGCTAAACAAGAATCACATTTTGCTGGGTTTCTCTGGCATCGTAAACATAGCTCAACAGTCTGGCAAGGCCAATTGAATACGAAAATGGCGAACACGAGCAAACCTCCGATGAACGACGAGTGGAAAAAATAATTATTATTTTAAATTCCGTTTTGCCAGCGAAATTCCAACGCGAGTCAGCTAATGAAAAAAAAGTGCGCAAAACAAAAAGCAATACAATTTTAAAGTATGAAACGACCAAAGTGCAATTGGTTGTGCATTGATGGCCAGCTAAATAGAATAAATTAACTATTTGCAAATTACGAAAAAGCAGCTGAAAAACCAATTGAGTCGAATGTGTGGCTACAATCGTGTGCGTACGTGAGTGTGTGTGAGTGAGCGGGCAAGAACATCGTAAAGCAGAAAGGTAGCGGGACGGACAGCAGCAAATAAACGAAAGGAAATAAAAATAAAACGAAAAATTAACAGTGCAAAAAAATAAAGAAAAGTAAAGAGAAGTACGAAATAAAACTTGGCGGTAAACTCTGCACGCGTTCATGTATGCGTGTGTCTCTCTCCAGAAGCTGTGTGCGTGCGTGTTTGTCAGTTTCTGTGTGTGTGTGTGTGTGCCTAAAATGTGCATAAAAATAACCGATAAACTGCGCAACAAAAACAACAACTAACGCACCGCTTACTGTAATCGTGGTCTCTATGCGTGCAGTACGTAATACAGGAACACGTAACGTTAACGTAAGCAGCAAAGCAGCAAAGGCGGCAAAAGAAAAACCTGACTATTCTACAATTAGGCGACATATTGCGTGCGCGCCATGTGTGCAACCAATTATGCAAAAAAGCAACAAATTGAACGACTGTGGCAACGACAGCGCTGATGTACACTTGCAGCAACAAATTGCAAAGCGCTAAATTTAAATATAAATAGCAACAACAACAACACAAAAAGGTAAACCAACAATAACGCAACAAACTAAAAATAATAATAGCAACGGTACAACAAAAAGACAAATTTAACACACGTTTCAATTGATTTCAATTGCGACAATATTAAGCATTACATTTATTTACATGTCGCGGAAGTGGGTGGGGGGGGAGGATACCGTGCAAATTTCCATGCCACCTGCACTTCGGCCTCTCATACGCTCGCATTCACACTCTCCCTCTCCCTGTCTCTCTCTCTCTCTAGTTTACTTCAAAAAATTTTGCCCCCTCGTTGCTGTGCGACAAGAACAATAATAATCAAAACAAAAATGTTTAAAATCCATTTTCTTTGCTTCTTCACCCACCGCATCAGCGCTGTTTTAGTCTGTCATTTGTCTTGTGCTTCTTCTTTATCTACTTCATACACACACTCACACACCAATACTTATGCAAGCGTCAACGTGCAAAACAGCTGTCTCGCTTGCTCATGCATAGCCAAAGCGCAATGAAGCGGCTGCCAAGTCTAAAACTCACAGTGGGATAAAATCAGTTATGTTATTGTTAAAACCTAAAATGTTACCTAATTAGATCGATTAACATAACAAATATTTACAATTAGGAAATATTTAACTTATTTCCGAAGAATGGAGGCAATTGAAATTATTGACTTTTAATAATAATGTGGCTGCATAATTAATTTGATTTCCAATGGCGTGTACCACTGTGCAGCGCGCACACACAGCCATGTACATTAATATTTGAATAGGGAATTAAAAGCATAGATAAAACAAATAAGAAGCATACAGACAATAGGAACTTAAGAAGCTTTTAGTTTAATGCAACATACTTAATGTTAGATAATATTAAATACCTAATTGAAGCATGTGTAGGGCATATCAGGCACAAACACAAATCACACTGGTCACAAAAATTCAAGAGCAAACGAAACGAAAAAAAATCCATTTGGCAAACAAACAAGCAAAGGAAAACGACGAAGCAAGCAGAGGCTCCAAAAGGCGGCAACTTGACTTCTCCCGCGAGTGTCTGTGTGTGCGTGTGTGTGTGTTGTGTGTGTCCGTGTGAGACGAACACAACGAGCAACAGGGGACCAACAAACAATAGCGAAAAGAATATTAAAAAAACGTGGATTGGTCGCGTAAATGGAGAAGAAGCAGAAACGGCATCAAAACAACAAACAGGCCGCATTAAATGCACAACTGATTATAAGCTCTCTCTGCTTCTGACTCTCTCTCTCTCTCTCCCTCTCTGTCTGTTGTGCTCTCTCCCCCCACTAAATCCAACACGTTTTGTGGAGTGTGCAAGTGGGTGGCATCACTTTCAGTGTGTGCATTTGCTTCGCACTGTTTTTTTTTCTTCTTTCTTTTCTTTTTGGGTTTTCGGCATTCCATTTTGGTGCGCGCTTTATTGTTTTGATTTCGTTATTTTTTTTTATATATGTGCTTCTTCTTTGCGCTGCTTGGTAAACTGCATTCAGTTTCTTTGGATGAACAGCACAACAACAAAAACAAAGACGCTCATGATATCAAATTTGAAGGCGCGTACGCTGGCCGTATTTTGCTCAAGCAAACTTCTTCTGTTCAATTATGCAAAAAGCATTTAAGTTTCAAATTGAATTTATTTATAGCTAAATGCGTTTGCTTTTTGTATTTGCTTGTGCTTGCTGTCGTGAACAGCGTACTATCCTCGATGGGCTTAAAATGTAGCATTCGCTGCGGTCGTTAAAGCTGCAAGTCAATGTTGGTTTTGTATGTTGTTCTCGTTGTTGTTGTTGTTGTTGTTGTTGTGTCTGTGCCTATGTCTGGAGCCGCTGCACATCCCCCTCCCCCTTCAGCAACGAGTTGCACGTCGCCTAAATTCTATTAACTGCATTGGTTACCGCAGCTTCGGTCCTTACAGCCAGCAGCAGCAGCAGCAGCATCCTTTTCAGCATTCCTATTTCTCTTTTTTATTTTTTATTTATTTTTTTTGACAATACCAATGGCCCAGCTAGCAACAACATGACGTTGTACGTGCCATTGAAATCCGTAAAAAGAACTACGAAAAATAAAAAAAATAAATGTAAAGAGTGTAAACTTCAGCTCGAACTGAAACTGGTTTCGGTTTTCTTTCTTTGGCCTGGGCAGAAGGCAGAAGGCAGCATTTTACATTTTCATGCACAAAACTAAAAACTTTTCTGAATTGAAGCCACGGTCAGAGCCCAACAACACGCCGCAACACGACAATGGGCCACATGCAAAAAGTTTTATTGCAAAAATCGACTAATGCGAGGTGTTGCCAAGGGTTAAGCATGAAATTGGATGGGATCAAGGTATCCTCTCTCTGTGTATGTGTGTGTGTGTGTGTGTGTGTGCAGATGAAGATGTAGATTGAATGCAAAAATACCCTTTGATTTAATTTGAATTGACAATGGTCCAACTGGAATTTAAAGTTTCGAATGCCCCCTTGTAGATTGTAAGCAATAATACCCTGTAATTTAATCTGAGTTGAGAAGGATTGCAGGGTTTATCATACCTCTTGTTGATTAATAGCAAAAAAAAACCTTAAAAAATATTAATAATATTTTTAATGATCCTCTGGTCGATCTGGAATGTAAAGTTCCAAATACCCTCTTGTAGATTGTAAGCAATAATATCCTGTGATTTAACTTGAATTTACCAAAGGTTGAAATGTAGGGTATAGAATATCTATTGTAGATTAAAAGCAAAAAAAACCTTTAAAAAAATATTAAATATATTTTTAATGATCCTCTAATATGGAATATATAAATATGTTCATATATAAAAATAGAATCTTTAGGAAAAAACGAAAAAAATACATATATAATTTCACTAGTTACAATCTTCGATAATACCAAATATCGTTCTCAAGCTTGCGCACACATTTTCTTTGAGTTTTTCAACACTGTTTTTATAATGTTTGCTGCGCCTACCTTCAGTTTCTTACAAGCACATCTAACTGTTATTTACAGGGTATGCACAAGTCGCGCTCAGGTCACACCCAGAGACTACCTGTTTTTATTTTTGGGAGACAGGCATAGTTTGCGCTCCTCTGTGCTCTCCACTTGTAATGCGCCGCACAATGGACTCCTTTTACATCTCTTGCCCCAGCAGGCGGCCGGGCCTGGCAAGGCGGCCGTTTGCATCCGAGACTCTGCCTCAAAAAGCTGGCTCAGTCGCAACTGGCGTTGCGTTTGGTATAGAAGCAGAAAAGACTGCTGCAACGGGCTGCAACGGGCTGCTACAGTTGTTAGTTGTTATTGTTGCTGCGCTTATCGATCAATTTGCTGTCTGAATAATTAATAAATGCGTATTTATTATGGGCGCTGGGAAAGCGAAAACCGTATGCAATAACTGGAATGTGGTGCGTGCGCAGGCGCAAATATATATTTTGTTATGTTAAGCTACAAATTAACTTTCAATTTTCAACTAATCGCATTTGCATCTTTGCAGCGCTGCCAGCAGCAGGACGACAACGCCGACGTCGTCGTCGTAGCACTGAGCTTTTGGCGCTGTGCGCAGCGAAAGTGAACGCGTAAAAGAGCGAGTGCAAGAGAGAGTGAGATAGAGAGAGATAGAGAGAGGGGCAACAATAATATAATAGAATAACTGCAACTGCAAGGCACAGCGAAAGACTCTTACATACAAAATGGCTGCCGTGCGGGGACATCAGTACTTTAGTCTACGCTGGAATAACTATCAGAACACGATGACGTCAGTGTTTCAGCAGCTGCGCGAGGATCTCTCCTTTGTCGATGTGACCTTGTCCTGTGAGCATGGCTCGCTCAAGGCACACAAGGTGGGTAACTTGTCGATACACGTATATCGATATCTGCAGCTATCGATAGACAAATTTAACGAATGCATTTGTACTAAATGTTTGTTTTTCAATAATTTAATTTGTTTACTCTTTTTTTTGGCAACAGGTTGTTTTATCCGCCTGCTCCACGTATTTTCAAAAGCTACTGCTCGAGAATCCATGCAAGCATCCAACGATTATATTACCCGCCGACATCATATTCACAGATCTGAAAACAATTATCGATTTTGTTTATCGCGGCGAAATCGACGTCACCGAATCGGACCTACAGGTAAGTGCGACTGTCCGACTATGCCTTGAATAACTAAGTAAATAATTGGCCCAAGTTTTTACCAAAAGGTTGCAATTACGCATTTTTAATGCACAACCTTCGTAGTCCGTTTGTGGACTCAAAATAATGAAGAGGTCCTACAGAAACAACTGAACATGAGGGGCTCGTTAATGTCCTCAGTTTGAAACGTATTTTGTCTATAATTGAAAATCAATATTAAACTTGGTTTAGCAACTAATTACGAACGCTGCTTGACCATGAAATACCCTGTAACGAGCTTAACAAATAATATTTGATATGTAGTAAAAGCTTCCTGAAGCGGATATTCACGTGCTTTTCCTGCTCGGAGGGAAGATCGCTTAATAGAGAGCACTTTTTGGGATAAAATAGGGAAATAGGGATCAAAAATGAGTTGTTATAGGAAAAAATGATATTATTGTTAATTTATTTATTTCTTACAAATTGTGGGGAACATATGCCACATACCTCTTTGATTTAAAGAGTTTGTAGGTTTTACTATTTTTGCATATGGATATTTACATACATATATGCACTATAAAGTAGAGATTATCTATGTGTAGGCTCTTACAAAAATTTTTACGTATGTTTATTTATTTTAAGGCTTCATAACATACATATTATTAAATATATAAATATTTATTATTATGTAAATATATGTTATTCGATCCTTTTATATAGTATTCAGTACAATTCAAATTTTGGGGATTAATTCTTTGTTTATATATAAAAGCATCTATATATACATATATATTTAATGTCAATGTTTTTCAATTTATCGCCTTATATAAACATTTTTATTAGGATAGTGAATTATTTGTCTCGGCAAATGTTATTGCATCATAGATAAATATTTATCTTGGGCTGGTTTACTATTTCTCCGAATGTACAAATACACTTGTTATAAATAGAAAATAGATAGATAGATAAATATATTGGTCTTGGGTATTGTTTCTTACGATATGCGCATTGCATTTAACGTTTAGTGGGTTAAAATTTCTTTCAGTGCATTTGTAACAATCGCGTACATATAAGAAATTTAACTATGTATATTTCTCCGTGCATTTCTTGCAACAGGTTATTTTTATCGGTTGACTATTTCTCTCAGTGCATTCATAGTTATCGCTTTGTTTGTAGTTTTTTTTATATTTATATTTGTTGTGGTTGCTTGGCCAAGTGAAAAGTCTGTGGAAAGTGCAACCGCAAGTGCTCCGCACCTTTGGCCACTGTTGCTGCTGCGGCGGCCTTTTTTTATTATCTTTATCAATTCTTGTCTATTCATATCTCAATAGATGTCTATTTATACATACATGCACACACATATGTACATATGTATGTAAACGGTAACTATTTATGTAAGCCATTTACACAGACATTCCGCACCTTTGGCTGCCTGGTCGGACAATTTCATTGACAACAAAAACAACAACAGCAGCAGCATGTATGAATGTGTATGTGTGCGTGTTTATCTTTTTTAAATTGATCGCCAGCAACAAACATACAAGCATGTACACGCACACGCTCTCTCACACACATACACACACACACACACACACACACACACACACACACACACACACACACACTGACATGCATATACACCCACAATTATTGCCAGGGTCGTTATCTATGCAGGTTTGTCAGCTCTCCTGTTGCGCCTGCCGCTCTCGTTCTGTTACTCTCTCCCACTCTCTCTGTCTCTGTCTCTCTCCCCCCCACTCCAGTTGCTGCCTTCATTGATGTTGCGCTGTTTTGCATTTGACGAACGCCATTGTAATTGTCATTTGTGCGCTTCATTAACCGTTGATTGCTGTAGTTGTTCTCGTTATTATTGTTGTTGTTGCTGTTGTTGTTGTTGGTTGCTTTTGATAAAGAATGTGAGCAGCTTTTAATTAATATTGATTATTTATGCAGCTCTTTACTTCAAGCATTGCAAAAACAGTTATTGCTTTAATGTTATCAACGCAGCCACGTTTTAATAACTGCGATTTTGGGCAGGTTTTGTGCACGAAATTAATATAAACTGTCATCTGTAAAATCTTTTTAAATAACTTTAAATATTCGGCAGCTATAAGACATTTTTTAACGAAGTTTATTTAACGAATTATCCACTTAACGCATTAACTTATTTGAGCAGCAACCCAGTTTTGTTTAGCCAAGTCACCAACCGTTCGCTTACACTGGTGGCTGGCATTAATGTGCTCTTTGCGCTCCTGCCATACTCAGCATATTAGCGCTCACTCAATGCACACGCGAAGCCGGCTTGAGTCGTTGGCCAGCAACAGAGGAACAAAAAAAAAAACACTCAAACTCAAGCTGACGCAACGCTCAAACGTCTGCCCACCCTCATACACAGTCGGCAGAGCGCGCGCTGGCTTCAGACGGCGGGCAGCCGTCGACGACGACGACGACGACGGCGACGGCGACAACTTCCCATTCATGCTGCAAGTTTTGCTTTTGCTTTTTGTTTTTGTCACAAACGTGCGCTACATTTTTATTTTCGCTGCAAAACTTTGCCGGCCATCTGTGTGAGGGCGACCCCCCAACCCACCCGCCTCTGGGAGCAAGCGGGGAAAAGGTGGCAACTACACACAGCTACACAGCTTGTGTTTGTTTGTATCTCTTTCGTCGTCATCGTCGTCGCCGTTGTTTCTGCACATGTTCTTGGAGTTTCGTGCTGGCTCCTGCTCTCGTCTCGGCTTGCCACCACTTTTATGTATAAAACTTTTTTCGCCCATTTTTATTTTCTGTCTCGTTGCTGCTGCTGCTTTTGCTGTTGTTGTAGTTGTAGTTGCCCTTGTACTTTTGAATGTTTTTGCCGTTGTGCGTTGCGACGTCGTCGTCGCCGTCGACCGCAACTTCAATGGCGTCGCTTAGTATGTGGAGCTTTGCGGACGTCAACGTTGACGTCGCTTCGTCTTGCCCAGCGCCTGGTGCGTTCGTCGTATTTTGGCGCTGCTTCTCTTGTTGTTATTGTTGCTGTTTTTGTGATTTTGCATGGTGGCCCCCTTTTTTTTGGCGCGTCTGCATCGCCTTGAAAAATGTTGTATGGCTGCTGACTGCGACTGGACCTCAAACTGGACTTTGGCTGAGTGTGTGTGTATGTGTGTGTGTGCGTGCTATTGCTTGCTCTTTCGAACGCGGCGATGGCAGTGTTGCCACTTGGTTTAGTTATTTTTTGTTGTACATCGGTGCTTTTTTTCGCCTTAAGCTTAGATTCGATTTTTGCTAAGCGTTAATTATGCTGGGCTCTGCGTGGAATGCTTTAGCTAATGTGGTCAAGCTCGCTTGCTCGCTCTATGTATCTCTCACTCGCTCAAGCACATACCCGCGTAGATGATTAACAGCGAGACGTACACGCACGCAGCATAAAGCCGTTACATATATTTAAACACACACACACACACACTACATGTGCTTGAGCATATGAGCATGCATATGTATTTGTGTATGTATGTGTGTCACACATGCCTACATGTGCACATGTATGTCTGCGACAACGACGCCATGTGCTTGGCTATATTTATTGTGTTTTTTTTTGCATGCCAACACTTGAGGGTCTTCCCATCGCCAGCACCCTACCCTACCGTACCCTGCCCCTTGTTGGCCCCATTGCATTGTTTCCCCCTTGCCATCAACGTCACCTTTATCTTCGGCCAACTATGTGAGCAGCTGAAACTGACACACACGGGCGCAGCAGAGCAGCAGCGGCAGACGTCGACGGTCGCGACGTTGGACATCAGCAGCAGCAAAAGCAGCGGCAGCGGTGGCAGCAGCAGCAACCCAGTTAATAGGGGGGTGGTGTTGGAGACATAGCGGGCACACCCAACAGCCAGCATGCTGCTACCTTCGCCCACTCCCCCTTTGAATGCGCCCAGCAACCACTTGGCTTGCATTTTTTCCGATTTTTTCTTTCATTCTTTCTTGCAAACAATTTTTATTTTCTGTGCAGAATTCGTTTCGTTTCGTTTTTTTTCTTTTTCTTTGCTCTGCTGGCTCTCTGAGTATTTTTTTTTGCCCCGCAGCACGTCGCCAAAGTGTCTCAGTGTATGTGTGCCCGTCGGTGTATGTATGTGTGTGAGCGCGCCCCGCTTCTGTGAGTGAGAGCGCGCTTTGGCTTGCCACTTTGAACTTATTGAAGGAAACAGCAGCACAGGACAACCGCTGCTGAGCGAAAAGGAGGCAAAATAAAAGAAAAAATTCGAAATTGAGTGAGGCGCAAAGAAAAAATGCTTCACACATACACACTTACGTGCGGTGTGTGTGTATGTGTGTGAGTGTCCGCCAACAATGGCCCAGCTGCTCCACACACAAACACACACACACACATCTGCGGGCTTGTGTGTGTAAGAGCTTGGACTCATAGTACACTTTCATTCTCAGTCCTCGCTGGTCCAAGTAGCTTCCCCTCTTGCGCTACCTTCGCTGCTTCCATGGACGTCGCTGCGTCTGTCCAGTTCCGTCATGCATTTTTTTCTCGTATTTTTCGTCCTGTTTCTTGTCTTCAGATTCGCCTGCTGGTCAGGCTCCCATTGTTGTTGTTGCTGCCGGAGAGCACAATTTTTTCTTTGCGGCCCATTGTTTTTGTTGCACAGTGGTGCAAGGTTTGTCAACCTGGAGTTGAATTTTTTACCAAGGACTTTTGGTAAATTTTATACAATAAAAATATATGTATATAACGAACATGAAAAATGCTTCGACAATTATAATATATTTTTCTGTTAATGGGGTTTTTACTTTGTTTTTCAAAATGGTTGCGACTCCTTGTATGTAGCTAGTTTATATACATATGTATGTATGTAGCTTATCGTCAAAGAAAGTCACACCTGGAGCCATATTGTTCAATTTTGCTATCTCCCACCAGTTTCTAAGCACATGTCCACACCCACTGGAACATCCATGTTGCTTGTTCTCGCTTGTAGCCAAACTAGCAACAAGAGGAGTAAAAAAAAAATGTCCATCAATTGCTGCAATTGCATTTTTTCTTTTGTCGCTCAAATGTTCCATTGTTTTTACTGGTCCCGCTAGCAGCGACGAAATCTGCTGATTCTTACCCGCACCAACCCGCCAACCGAAAGCCCCCGCCACGGAGTGACACCCAACACAAATCATGGCCATGCGAATTCATCTCCAGTTAATGGGCGTACATCGTCGCATTTGGTGGCCTGGTCAGTGTTGGTCATTTTCTAAGGGTGTTATATACTTGGCCCCGCCGCTCGCCACCCACTCAGCCGTGGTGGGGGTCCTCTTATGTATGCGCTGCTCGTTCAGCGTCACTGTCTCACTCACTCGCTCACACACACACACACACATACAAACATACACACACTTGTAAGTTTGCCGCAAGTTTGTTAAGAAATGTGAGTGTTGGGGCTGGGTGGCGCCTATGCCTCACGCTGCTCATCAATAATGCAAATTGTTGTTGTCTGCAAGAGTTTCGTGTACGTTTTGCGCTAGCATGGACCACGGTGCGCGTGCTGTGCCGCAATTTTTTCAAGCTTTCTTGCTGAGCACTTTGTTGTTGTTGTTGTTGCCGGCGCTGCTGCTCTCAGTGTTTCTTCTCATTTTTTCGCTGCTTCGATTTTTTTTTGTAGTGCTTGCTGCTTATGTTGTTGTTGTTGTATGCTTGAGTACGTTTGTGTCGGTGTGTCTGTGTGTGAGTTTGTGTGAGTTGCGGCTTGCTTACGTTTTTCTTTTTTTTTTTTTTTCTTCTCTTTTTATATGTGCAGAGAGCGGCTACGCTCTGCAATTTTTTCCGATTGCGACCGATTTTTTTCGCTGCCGCTGCTACTTTGAGTGTATATGTGTGTGTGTGTGTGCTTGTGTATGTGGGTGTGTGTATGCTTTTGCTCCTTGCGCCTGGCTGTTTGCTAATCGTTGTCGTCGCAGTCAACGTAGACTTCGTCGTCTTTTGGCATCATCTTTTATTTGTAATTCGGTTCATCATCATCGTTCATCGTTCTGTCGCATATGTATGTAACTGTATATGTGTACGCCGTATCAGTGTGTGTGTGTGTGTATGTCTGCTCGCTCACACGCTGCCGCTGCTGCCGCCGCCGCTGCTGCCGTTGCCTTTTCTTGTGTTTTTTTTTCTTTCTTTCTTTGCGCCGCAGCGGCAGCGACGACGGTCAATGCTGCCAACTTTGCCGTTGCCAGCCATCAGACAACATTTGTACTCGGTGGGTCTTGCTTCGATCGGACACTCGGTCGCCGCCACGTTGCTGTAATTATCGCGTATTTACTCCGCCCGTCTGCCCCCGGCGTCTGCTCGTCGCCGTCATTCCCAATTGGACGAATATCGCCAATTGAGCCGCTGCGACTCCCCCCGCTTCGTAGTCAGTCCCTTTTAATTACCCGAAACGCGGCTGTCAGTCGTGCAAATTCTGCCAGTTCTGCGACCAAATCAAATTAAAACAGGCCGAAAAATCAAAAGTGCTTAAAAATAAAACTCGGTCCCCAGTTCGTGCACCGTTAGTGTGTCGCCGCCTGCGCCTCATATGCAGGCTCTTAGCTGCTTATTTTTACATGAATTCAAGTTCGCGCGCGTATGCACATATAAATATTTACACACACACACACTCAAAAACATACACACGCACACATTTACAAGTGCAAAATCAGCGCAGACAGGCCGCTGTCTGGCTTCCCCCAATAAGAACAAACAAGCAGTAGCAGCATCAGTCCAATAAGAACAAAACAGCAGGCAAAAAGAAATGCCGCGAAACGTATAAAAATTCAAGCTGGGCAAAACTTACACGACTTGGGTTAACGTTTTTTTCGGCATACGTAGTAAACGTAAAGAGGCATTCCCTCACACGCGCACACATACACATACACACACATACAAACATACGGCCTGGATGCATACATCAAACACATGTCGCTGCCGCAACATTCCTTTTCGTATGACGTTGACGTTGCGCCGCTGTCGCTGCTGTGGCTGCTGCTGTCGCTGCGCTTTGCAAGTTTTTGACGTGTGCTTGTGTGTGTGCGTGTGTGTGTGAGTGTGACAAGTGCCGCCGCCTGCTGACTGCGCGCTTTACTTTTATGATTATTTTTTATATGTATATTTCGTATTTATTTTATGTGCATTTGCCTTTTGCCGCGTTATTCGCGTGTGTTTTGACTTTGCGCGCGGCTCTCCAGCTCTCCAGCCTCGCGCTTACGGTTTATTGAACTAGGCGTGCTCTATTTTGTTTTTTTGTATTTACCAGATGCTGCCGCAGCTTTTGTGCATTGTCTCTTTTTTGTTATACAATTAATATTTTGCCTTTTCAGCATTTCTCATTAATACAATTTCAATTCTCTTGCGCAGCATAACAAGCCACAAAAAAACAAATTACAAAAAAAAAAAAACAAACATAAAAATCCTATGCAAATGCGTCACGTGTTGATAAACATTTTCCCAAATTAAAATTCCCAAACATCAATAATAATACATTACGCTTCCATCTCACTCACATTCTATCGCTCTTACACACGCTCTTTAATACACTCACAACTAATCGCAACGATTGCGTCCTTTTTGCTCTTTCTCTTTTGATCAAATCATTCGTGCGTGTGTTGTTCTTACAATTACATATATTATTGTTTATTATTTATAAAAAAAAAATATATAAATATAATAAATATATAAAGAAGCAGCAAAGTTTTTGGTGTGCAAATATTTTCTCTTTTGTTTGGGTCTCACACAATCCTCACACATACAACAACAAAAGTTAATATATATTGTATGCAATTGATTCCGTCACGTCGTCTACTACAATTTGTCCAACCTACTCTACAACAACAAATGCAATCGTTACTACAAAACTGCGATATTAACTAAAAGAGAAAACAACAAAAATTGCGATCTTAAAAGGCTTGTGCCACAAGGATTTTCAATTGTATTGCATAAGGTATGTGCTTTAAATCTAACTAGAATTTCCCATGATAATGTCCCATCAAAATCGAATTCATTTTAATTGAAGGGAAATTTGATTTAGAGTTTTAAGTTTTTTGTTGGGAATTTATGATTAAGCGGGGTCATTTATATGTATTCCCATAAAAAATGTTGCCTATCGGCAGGCGCTTTTCAAGTTCAAGTTTTTACTTTTTGACTTTGTTCTTTACTTTTTCCATTTAGCCCTACGCACCTTTCCAAGGGCTTGGTTCGCTTAGTAATGTTCCATCAAATAATGCCATTAATTAGGCACACACACACACACACACACACAGGCAGACACACGCACACCACACCCTTAATAACCTGCACTCTCTGCCTCTCTTGCACGCACAGGCCGCACGACCCAATCTCTTAGCTGCGCTCGCTCGCAATTAGCGGCCATCAGAAACAAAACTGAGACATAATAACGGGCAAAAAGTAAAAAAAAAAAAAAAATATAAAAGCTTAAAAAACGTGAAAGCCAATGAAACTGAGCGATTTTTTTTCCTTCGGTTTCTCCCTTCATATTTTTTTTTTTTGCTGGCACACCCAAAAGTTACATAGTCGTTGCCTGTATTTGTATTTGTTTTACTGTTGTTGTTGTTGTTGTTGCTGTAGTTTTTCTTAAGGTTTTTCCAATAGCCACCAATTGAGTACGCCTGGTCGCTTTCTGAACTTTTCGGGCACATAATGTGAAAGTTATGACCACTAAACCACTATCATATTGGCAAAAATCACACAATGAAAGGCTCTTAGCATGGCAAATGTCTCCGTGTTTGTTTCAAAACTTTCGCAGCATGTCAAATAATAAAACAAAATGTCATTAGGAAGTTTTTCCGCCAAGAAAACTGTTTCAGCTCAAACTTAAAGAGCAAGGATCAGGCAGCAAAGAACCATTGTTTATTTGGAAAATCATGAATATGTTGAAAATTTGATTTAAAATCATGTGATAATCATTTATTCCTAATTTACATATTCTAAATTGCAAAAAAAAAAGCCTTTCCCTTTTCAATAAAAACAAAAAAATGATAATTAACAATCGAAAAATATAAACGATAAATTTGCGATATTTTATCGTTATATCGTTAGCATTTTGTTCATCTCTAAACTGAAATTCGATCATATATATTTTATTCTCAGAAGAATACAATCACTAACCATACAATGCATAGACTTGTCAAATGTTAAAATAATCGGATACCGATAAATCGTCAACGACTGAGCCCCATGGGTGACCGCGACCATTTTAGTGTGCCCAGACAAAGTAAGACTGCTGAGAGTGGCAGCCGAACGCCGGCCTCGACAGCCGAACGTTCAGTATGAAGCCGCATCCCGCTCAGCGCACAACGTTGCTGCGGCTGATGCTGTTTTGTAATATATGTATCTTTTCAGC